ATGTATCCAATGCCACGCTATGATAGCGCCGATCAATGGACCGATTAATGACATGACTTATCATTCAAATAAATATCTATTACTTTCTCGATATAAGACATGATTTTTCTTTCATTATCTCTCTCTTCCAAACGAAAAACAATATATTCTTTCATTTTTGCCTACTTTTCAAGGCTTTGATTTGTTTTTTCGATTGAAATCTTCAGATTTGTAACCTTTTGACTCGTGATTTGCTATACTTTTTGCTGATTAATGCAGATTTAAACATGTCTTTGATTATCAATCGTATGATTAAAATTGGGGGTTATCTCAGATATATAGTCATTATAATCATAATTAATGATTTATGAATAGTTAGATTGTTTGTCAAAGTTATAGCCAACTCTACCTTTACTGTCAAGTGTGAGCTGTGGTGTTAGGCTATCCCACAACAGTGAACGTCATACCCAATGCTTTTCAATGTTAGCCGCTGTGACTAGCGTTGAAATATTTTTGCAAATATTTCTCTCCTTTTATAATAATTGATTGACTTTTCGATAACATTTGAAACAATGAGTGGTTGTGTAACGCATGAAATGATGAGTTTTGCGATGTGTTTGCAAATAACTATTGATTGGGAATAGGGTTGTATCGGGCAGTGAATGTGTGTTTCATACAACACTAGCGTAATGGTGAAGGTATGCTGTCGACTGGATGCTCGCGTTTCTATGGAAAACAAAATGGTCTCGAAATATGCCCAACGCTTACAACTCAAGTGTTATTGACTTGAAAACTATTTGAATTGAGAAAACATTACATTATATGTGCAGTAATACTCTACTACTCGGCAGTAGTGTTGTGTCAATGTGTATACAATTATGACATAATTAGCGATACTATAGACAAGTGATGCTTACGATGAATGTATTGGTTGTGTATTGCGAGTGTTGTGTCAATTCATAGCGTTATCTCATTAGTTGGACATCACTTGAGCTCATCATTGGCTGACACAACATGACTGACCCCTCGTATACCCGTACAGTAAGCCCGCAATTATCGCTTATATTAGCTTTTATAACATAGTTATAGCAATTGATTGCTTATTAATGGCACACATTGTCTATACATGAAGTTTGCATTCAATGTGGACATCACTGAAGTTTATAAACTCACTGTCAGTTTATGTGACATTCATTTGAATGGCATTTAATTGTTTGCATATGAAGTTGAGGTCAACCCTAATGGGCCGGTAGTTGATAGCTATGGCTCTGTGTGTGTACTTCAGGCCTAATGTTATGTTTGCTTAATTCAGTGCTCATTGAAGGCATGATATAATTGTCATAATTATTGGTTTTATATTCAAATTGTGATTATATTATGAATACAAATGAACCAAATTTGCAATCATTTCACTAAACAATGAGTTGTTTATCACTAGAAATGTATGCATTTATTATGAGATATGAGAGCAGCTCTTGAGGTATGACATGAATGACTAGTATTACGGTTAGTGACAACTCAGACATCAGTATCACATGAAT